TTGTATAAATAAAATAAGTCAATAAATAATTATAGGGAAGAAAAATGTAGATACTTGCCATGCGACCCTTAAGATGACGCGTAATAACTCTCTCTGGTGTTCTGTAGAATGGAAAGTTGTGTTCATTTAAGAGGAGACTCATAAAGTGGATTACAATTAAACGGAACCTTACATGACATGAACAATGGCACCCCAACCAGCTAAACAATCCCTATCAACTGCATTTAATAACGCCTGCGAAATTGTTTCAAATAGATCTTCTGGTTCCTTTATCCCGCACAATAAAAGGTGAATACATTATTTATAGTAAAAAACGAAAAGGTGTCATAAAATAATCCATACCAGATCAGGCTCCCATAAAGATTCACAAATACCGTACAAATTTTGAGCAGAACTTCCACTCACTACAAAGTCCTTAGCGAAATTGATACATCCTATAAGATCCATAGAACAAATAAAAGGCGCGTTGTTTTTGTCAAGACCAGCAACTACTGGTTCCGCATAAAAATATGAAAACCTGTACGATAAAGATTTAGGGTTACTAAATTGTAAAGCGTAATCATTAATGAATTTATAATCGAACCTATACCTTTTTTCATATAATGTTGAAGATACCATGTGCGCTAGAGTCCTTGGTTCGATATCACGTTCTTCACGCAATTTGTACATATTAATCTTGAATCGAAATACTTCCGATCTGTTAGAATTAATCAATATGATATACGGATTTAAATAAAAAAAAAACCAAATTAAAAACATTGCAAAAGTATAATAACATACAATGTTTGGACGTCAGTCGCCAATCCTGGAAGTCCGATAAAACTCTTGTCGGTGGCTGGAAATATTTTTTGGAAATCTGTAGATATTGTCATTAACTGAACACCGAGACGCTTGTCAGCAGCAATGGCTACACAATTTTTCCCGACCATGGCAACTATTGCCCCGCCGTTGTACTCAAGAGCAGACTATAACATATGTGATACATTATCATAAGGGTTTCAAATAATATAAAAAGTTGTCTACGAACATTAAAGTTCTTACCATAACTTCTAATAAGCAGTAAAAGAAAAGCTGATGTATATAGTACGTATGCACGCATATACGTTATCAAATCAAAGTTACACGATTATATAGTCATGTGATAAACGGGTTAAATAATTACGTGGCTTAGTAAAGAATATGAATTTTATTCCGTCTAAAGTTAATAATACTGTAGATAGGTAAGTCTTAAATCTAAAGAAAAAATAAAGATTCGAAGATATATAAATGATGAATATATTTCCTTTGGCTGTCTGAATTGAGTATGAGGACAAACAAAAAAAAAAAATCGCTAGAAAATGTTTTCTGATAATGTAATTGAAGCGACAATGGTGTTTACTCCGAATAACCTTAATTAATTTTTAATCGATTTTATTACATAGATAACAGAAGAACTATTCGGATCTTAATTACAATAAAGTATATGCGATAGTTGGTTTAATATCAGAATTTATATACAAAATTTTATTTTATTTTATTTTGAAGGAAACCTTGCATTATATTTTAATAAATTTTCATTAATTATTCACACCACTCTTGAACAAGTCTACCGATTTCTTCCTTTCGTTTTGCGGATTTTTCTAAATCAAATAAGAAAATTATTTCTTAATTTATCTTACACAATTCTTGTAGAAAAAAATGCTTAAGAATGATCAAGTGGAAACAAGCACAAGAGATCTATAAAGAAGACAAAATAAGAAATCAATCAGTTCTTTAAATCAAAACAACAAAATCATAATTATGAAAAGATTCTTACAGGAAGAAGAAAAACTTGAAGACAAAGGTCTGAAATAAATTTTCTTAGAAGGAGTAAAGTATAAAATAAGATGATTAGGGTTTTGATTTCTGTCAAAACTCATAAGAAGGATCTGTAGTAGTAATCTACAAACAATAAAATTAATAGTGGAAAAAGTTTTCACCTGAGTTATTAATGGAGCAATAAATCACTCTCAAAGTTATACTTAGAGTGATAATAATCAAATAAGAGAGCTAATTAGAGATTTAGCTTTAGCAACTCATTTTATATATATAGTATACTAATATTTAATAAAATACATATAATTAATCTAACAGAATATATAAAAAAAAATTATATAATAATATAGATGTATTGTATTTAATATATATAATATAGCACTTTATATAATAAAAATATGAATAAAACTCAATACATATTACAAATAAAGGATAAAAGAAAAGAAAATATAGTTAATATATTATTTAAGCTTTCAAAAACATATGATAAATAATAAAAACTATAAACTTTCTAATAATTATTGTAATAAAAAAAATCAAATTCAAAGAAGAAATCATAGTAGTATCAAAAATATATATTGTTATAGATAGTATTATTATCAAAATATTTGAAATTAATAAAATAACTTTTTATAAAAAATGAATTTTAATATATTTTATATCTTTAATAACTTAAAAAAAAAATAAAAAAAGTCTTTTACAATATTATATAGAAAATAAAATTTTGAAGATTGTCAAAAATTCAAAAAGTTTATATAGATTAAATATCAATCAATAAAAATTGTCAAATAATTAGATATTGAATTAACTATAAATAATAAAATTTTAATAATATGTATTTAGAAACAAAAAAGAAATAAAATTACAAAAGTTTCAAAAAAAAATTAAAAGTTATTATATTAACAAATACAATTAATATACAACTAGAAATAGAAATTCAAAAAAAAAAAAAAAACTCTTTACGCTGATCTTCTGACCACATACAAAAAAGATATTTGCAAGAAGTTTTTATACTTCTTTGCTAATAAAGTCTTAATACTTTCATTAAAACAACTTGAA